CACTACTATGGTCGGTTGCTCCTGGCTCTTCATGGCTCACAACTGTCTCATCACCCCCTTCACCCCAAAAACTCAAAAAAACTCCATTAATTTCCTAAAATGATCATCCTAAGTTTGGTGCACTCAAAAACTTTAATTGGATTGGTAAATAAAAAAGAAATGAGCCAGCCCCAGTCCATTATCCCCTTTGATAGCCTTAGTTTAATTTTTTTAAATAATTCAAATGTGCCATGAAATTACCCAAATAAGTAAACAGTCCCTTTAAACCTCTGTTTTTGAAACTTTCCAAATTCATGGGAAATTCTGCAAACAAATGCAGGAAGGAACTGTTAATCTTTTCTTTGTTATTATGCAAAAAAGTTAGCCCCATACCGGCTGAGGGGGGGTCTCTGGTTAACCCTCTCCCCCTAACATATCTAATTTTATTTAAATATCTCATAAAAACCGTTTGATTAAATAGATATCACTTATTTAACAAATATAAAATAATTTCCGAAGGTTTCTCAATATTTCTGTTAAGGGTGTCCCACAAAACATGACAGTTGGTAAATAGTTTTGTATTTCGTCTTCCATACACTGTATAAATTTGGCTTGACTGTCTGGGTGGGTGTATGTCTGTTTGTTTGTTTGTGTCCAATAAACGTCAAAACGGCTGAACCGATTGGGCCCAAATCTTTTGTGGGACATCACGTGACCACAGGGAAGGTTTAAAAATAATAAAAATTTTAAAAAATGTGTCTTAAAGGTTTTTAATTTTGTAAAAAAATTAAATTCTTGAAAATCCGCGAATTTTTTTTTTAAAATCCGCAAAATTTTTTTCTTCTAGCTTTGTTATAAAATGTAAACAACAAGAACATGTTCACAATTTGAATAGAAGATGGGCGCGAAGCGCCCTAAAAGCCTAGTATTAGTATATATTGAACAAAATAAGATTGAATTATTTTCAAAAAAAAATAGATTTTTCAAAACACAAATTGGCATCATTATTTCACAAATTTGTGGCCGCAGCGCCGGCCCAGAAATTGTCGTAATCTGTTCTAACACTTAAATTTGAAGATTATATAATTATTCTTGCAAAAATACTATAACTTGAATGGATGTATATTTTTTTAAAAAATTGAAAAATTAGAATAATTGAGCAAATATATGTTCAAAGGGACTATAGTCGTTTTGAACGTTGTCTAAATGAAGATTAGTCCAATCAAACGTTAGTCCAATCGATCATTACTCCAATTGATGTTAAGCCAGATTTGTTATTTTTAATGATTTTTTCATTGACAAATCTAAATGTCGTCTTGAATCTTGTAATTGCGGAGTCCTAATATCGTTATATATCAAGGATTCTTGTTATCTTTTCAAATCAGCTGATATATCTGTCTCTGTAAACAAATTTAAAACATCACATTATTGTTATAACTCATATCTTTATAAAATGTTATATTTGCTTATTTATCAAGAATTTTATTTATAGGTATTTCAAGGGAATAGTTTGAAGAAATATTTTTACTTTTTTAGAATTGTATTTGCAGCTGTATATTCCAAGCAAATGATTTCAATTCATAAATTTAAATAACAATGCCATTACTTACCCGACAGCTCAGCCATCGGTACATATAGTCGGTTAAAATGTTTCCTTGGGAGGCATATTTTCAAGGGAGGGGGGGGGGCGATGGGGGCTCAGACCCCCCCCCGGGAATGTAAAAAAATTTAAGCAACCCCCTCTGGACAAATTCTGACTACGCTCCTGACTATGAATACTAATTTTTGTTTGTTTGAATTGTTTATTTTTTATAATTGAACTTTTATTTTTTCAATTCATTTAAAATATCTTCCTGATATGTTAAAGCATTTATTTTGTAAATATTGACAATTTGTTTTCATCACTCAAACTATTGTTTGACTATAGACATAATTGACTTGAAATAAAAGCTCAAAATGGTGTCAGTATTCCAATTATCATGCTAAATTCATGTTTAAGATTGAATGGCTGAAATGTTGAAAAACAAATTAGATTTTAATGACTTTATGAGAACCTCTACTGTAGTAGAAGATACTTGTTTTTTTTATGAATATGCCTGAAGACAAAATAAAGCTTGAAAATATAGAAATGCAAGGTAAACTGGATATTTTTACATTTTTCAACAAAGAATACAGACTAAAGTCACTGCCTGGCTGGTTTGTGTTTGAGGGGTAAGGGGCAGAAAATATTTAACACTGTAAAGTGTAAAATTATGAATTGTAAAAAAGGTTGCTTTCCCCCCCACCATGTAACACAGAGATTCATGTTGAAATTTAAAGATTTCTTTTTGTTAAAAACTGTATGATGTTTACTGTTTGCAATGACGACCTGGGAAAATAGAACACTCAAATGGCTAAATATTTGGTCTAAAATTGTTTATGTTTCATCCAAATTACTATAAAGTTGGTCTAAAATGGTTTTCTGTTTGAACAAAATTTGCTCTATGTTTTGGTTGGTTATTTAAATGATCTTATTTTTAACGTGATAAAAGTCCCCTTGCTTCCATCCTGGCCCACGCTTATCATATGGGCCCCTCCTACCATACAAAAATTTCTCATTTATCTTCTAAGTTTAACTTCTAAATTATCAGTTCTATTTTTGGTGGTTAAATTAATCGTGTTAATTTTCCATACCAATCTTTTTAGTTATTTTCTCTCTTTAAATTTCCCTATTTTATTTTTGGTTAAGGTTCTTTACAGATTATGATTATGAAATTGCAAACATAATGTTGTTTATTTTACAACTGGGAGTTTTGTTTTAGCAATTGTTTCAAAACAATCTTCCAACCTCTATTTTTTGCATTAAAGATCAACATATCATCTTTTTCTATTCAGGAGAAAACATGGTTCATGGAGTTGATCCTCTGCAATCTGAACCAAAACCAAAAATAACGAAGAAGAGTAAATATGGATATCCATGCTTTCAGTGTGAGCATGCCTACAGCTAGAAATCTGAAGATCACTTTTCCCCATATTTCCCATTATAACCCATATTTTTCCTTATTTCCCCATATTTCCCCTTATTTCCCCATATTTCCCATTATAAACCATATTTTTCCATATTTCCCCTTATTTCCCCATATTTCCCCTTATTTCTCTATATTCCCCCTTATTTCCCTATATTCCCCCTTATTTCCCCATATTTTCCCTTATTTCCCCATATTTACTTGGATACTTGGATACTCTAATTGTGCACGCTAGGAGAGCCACATGCGTGGCCATGTAAAGCGGCTCATGGACTTCTGTTAGCCACAAACATTTGGGTATGTTTTGGGCCATACATCTCGTCATATTTTCTCTTAAAACTGTTCAGAGATTTAGAAGATCTAACACTGTCAGCGATTTCATTCCAAAGTTTGGGAGTTCTAACACTAAAAGAGTGTTTTCTCAATTCACTATTAAAACTTTTATGCTTTAGATTGAGGATATTCGAGGCCAGTCTGGTATCTTGTATTCGAGGCCAGTCTGGTATCTTATATTCGAGGCCAGTCTGGTATCTTGTATTCGAGGCAAGTCTGGTATCTTGTATTCGAGGCCAGTCTGGTACCTTGTATTCGAGGCCAGTCTGGTATCTTGTATTCGAGGCCAGTCTGGTATCTTGTATTCGAGGCCAGTCTGGTATCTTGTATTGAATTTTTTCTGAACATCTTTCAAACCAATGTTTTTCATCTACATGATCATACTGTGATAATATTTTCCATACTTTTTCCCCCATATTTTCCCATATTCCCTTATTTTAGAAAAAGCTACAAATAACAAATCTTACTTTTTAAAAATCTGGTAATATTTATAAAATTTTTATATTTTTCGCTAACTCTATTTTTTCTGATAGAATGGCAGAGCTTATTAAAGAAGACAAAACTATAGAAGGATACATGTACTGCTTAAATACATAGATAGATAGATAAATAGATATATATTTATCATTAAAGTACATAATTTTACATAGATATATTCGTTAAAGTAACACTTTAATGACGGGATTGGCCGTCTTTAATGGCAAACCCGGATGTTATTGTATGATATAATTTTTAAATCATACAATTGAAGGTGTTTCGTCCAATAGGAAGAAAGAAAGGCCATACATATACATAAAGATAATATAAAGATAAAAAATAATATAATACAAGGTAAACTTAATAGTTTCATATTTTCATGGAAATCTTAAGATTATATTTTATAATTAAAAGAGAAGAGGAATATTGCAACTGATATTTTTAACGATGTTTACATTTTACCACAGGTCAAATCATTTAAGTAGTTTTTAACTATAGATTATAGAAATGGTAAAAATTGAACCTGACTAAAATAATTCAAAAAACCGCCAAATATGATCATTTTGGATCTTACATGACTTAGTGTTTTTTTTCATCCCTCGAGCATTATTTTTGTTTCAATGCAAAATCTAAGAGAATTTTCTTGAAAATTTAAGATATCATCAATTTTTTCATTAATGGCACCTTTTACAGCAAAATAATTATTCTTATCTTCTTATTTAGGAAAACTTCAAAGAATTAATATATGAGTTCAGCTGTTGAATGTTGAGGCAAGAAATAATCAAAGGAAAGATAGTTTACTTCTTGTGGAAACAAACATATACACAAGAAAAATCGTATAAATATTTAAAGTTTATGCAAAAAACAAATTTCTTAAAAACGCCAGTTTTTAGCGAGAAGTGTGTCAAAATTTCCTACAAAACCTTTAAAAAAGATGCCATTTTGTGACAACTTAATTTGACCATTTGATACGTTATTCTTCGTATAAGAAGTCTTTATATTATGACGGCCTTCGTTTGTTTTTGTACGTGTCAACCTTTATTTTTTTCATATCCCTTTTATGCTTGAGCAATAATTTTGTACATTTTACGATTATTTTTCATCATTCTAATTACTATTTGCCAATGACCATAAATAAAATATTTTTTGATGAAAAGGTTGAGCAATGATTTATTTATGTGTAAACATGTACTGGTGTCAGTATTGTATTAACTATAGCTGAATTCATGTTTCAGATAGAATGGCAGAAATGAACAAAAATGAATTAGATGTCAAGTACTGTAGTAAGATAGCCCCTACTGTAGAAAATACATGTTTTGTGAATATACCTGAAGATGAAATAAAACTGGAAAATACAGAAATACCAGGTAAACTAATAGTTTATTTTAATAAAAAGACAGTAGCGCAACTTTTCTTTCTGAACACTTTCTTCATTTGCGAATTCGTTCATCCCATGGTTGTTAATGAAGACCATCAGTTGAATCGTTGGATCTTTTCAAACTTATTTCGTTTCAAAAGTAAAATTCCGTTTTTTTGCATTATCATTTACATGCAAGATTTTAACCATAAGGTAATCAGGTCTTTGGCGGTTTCTGATTAATAAAAGTTAAACGTTCACAATATGTGATTCTTTTTCTATAAACGACGCCCGATCTCAGATATATAGATATGGTTAATCTTTAACTTTTCAGGAGAAATATTGGATCCTCTGAAATCTGAACCAAAGAGAATCAAGAAGAGTCAAGACAGATATCCATGTTCTAAATGTGAATATTTTGCAACAACAGCAAGGAATCTGAAAAGACATGTTGAAAATAGACATATTAAAGAGATGAGATTACCTTGTCCTAAATGTGAGTTTATCGTAACTTCGGCAAATTATCTGAAAAAGCACATAGAAATCAAACATAAGGAGGTGAAATATCCTTGTCCTGAATGTGAGTTTGCTGCAACTACAGCAAGTCACTTGAAGTTTCATGTTGAAAGTAAACACAAAGGAGTGAGATATCCATGTTCTCATTGTGATTTTTCTGCAAGTTCAGCAAATGCTCTGAAGAGACATATTGAAAGTAAGCATATAGGAGTGAGATATCTTTGCCCCAAATGTGAATTTGCTGCAACTAGAGCAGATGAACTGAAGAAACATATTAAAAGTAGACACGAAGGCGTAAGATATCCTTGTTCTCAATGTCAGTTTGTTGCAACTAGAGCAGATAGCCTGAAGATACACGTTAAAAATAAGCACGAAGGTGTGAGATATCCTTGCTCTCAATGTGAATTTGCTTCAACTCGACCAGGTTGCCTTAAAATTCATATTGAAAGGATACACGAAGGAGTCAGATATCCTTGTTCTCAGTGTGAGTATTTGGCAACTACAGCAAGAAATTTAAAGATTCATGTTGAAATTAAACATGAAGGAGTGAGATATCCTTGTCCTGAATGTGAGTTTGCTGCAACCAGAGCAGGTGATTTGAAGAAACACATTAGAAATATACACGAAGGGACGAGATATCCATGTTCTTATTGTGAGTATGCTGCAACTGCAGCAGGCGCTCTAAAAACTCACGTAGAAAAGAGACATAAAGGGGTAAGATATCCTTGTCTCAATTGTGAATATTTTGCAACTACGGCTCATAGTCTAAAGAGACATGTTATAAGTAAGCATAAAGAAGTAAAATATCCTTGAGAATGGTTAATGTTGGCAATAGAAATGAATTCAATCATTCATTCTTTAAAAAAATGTCCACAATGTACACTTTGCTAAAATCTGGTTTTTCTACAAACTTGTGATTATATAAATGTATTTAACAAATGAAAATAAAGTTAATTTCCTTTTATTAAATTAGCATTACATGTTTGTAAAATTAAATTACTTTACATGTTTCCTTGTGTGCCACTTTTAAAAAATCCATTGCAGTGCAGTAGTCACAAAATTCAATTCATGACATTTTTGAAAATACTACATACAAATATTCAACTGATTCAATTTTAAAACAAATGATGAATAAACAGCAGCTTGCAGTAGAAATTATTTCTTAAATTATTCATCAAAAACTTCACATTTATCAATAATATTTTGATTTTGAAAAAAAGGAAGCATATTGCATAAATCTTTCAGGGAAGTTTTGCATTTTTTGCTATGTGATTGGATTTGAAAAAAAAAAATATTTTTATATTTTCAAATCTGAAATTTTTTCTTTACTTATACAACCTAGAGCTGGGCAAAGTTCTCTTATCAGATTATTAAGAGAAGAAAAGGCAAAAAACATTAATTTTTAATCGTTAATGAAACAGATCAGGTGTTTTTGAAGAAAGAAAATAACTGTTGAAAACGAATTTTTATTTAAAGGGTGAATTTCGTTTTTTTCTGCTTAAAATTGAATTAAACTTGTAAAAACAAATGTTTATTTGTTTTGATGATTTTAAATGTTGTCTACTGTGTTTGATTAACGTCGTTAAAAAATGATTTTTTTTTGGCGCTTGGCACCATTAATACTGTAATAAACCGTTAACGTCTGCGCCGTTAACTAAAGATAAATATTTAAAATAGATAAATAGATAAATAGATATATATAAAGTTAAATAAAAGTGACTTGTAGATGATATGCCTTCTCCATTGGTTCTGAGATAAATGTGTAAATGGCACCATTGTTTATCTAAAATGGGATTGTCACTTGAAATTACATCAATCAGTCTCTTAAAATATTTACTTTATGTTTGAATATATTATATTTTTCATGAATCGAATACTCTTGAGAATGGCATTGCCGATGTAATGAAATAATCATTTTGAGGACAAATTGACTTTAGATAAATGGTTACCCACAGTTTATTTCAGAGAAGACTGCGGACTGCATGATTTAACATTACTTTTAGAAAGCTGACAAGAAGTGTGTTTAAGAAGAAAATAAGTTTAAGATCTTGGTATACAGTTCAACCATACCATTCACGTCTCATATCTTTTATGAAGTTAACCTTGTAGTTTATTAACAGCTATCACATTATCTCATTTCTTTTTCATTCAAGATTGAATTCTATATCTACCTGATTTAAATAAACTATTGAAATAATGTTTAATATAAACCTTATAATGTTTTTCACCACTCTAGAATCTTTTAGCGTAAGAAATTCATATGATAAAATTAGAAGGTCTTTATCCAAACTTTTTTCTTTTTGGATCTGCTGGTATTGTAAAAGTAGACTCTCCTGATCTTGGTCAGTAGTTGGGTTTTATGCATCTGTCACTTTGTTTAGCAGTGGAACCGACGGGCGTCCAACCTTAATTTATCAGAATTAGTCATTGAATTTGGATACATAAAACTCGGGAATTTGCAGACGACATGCATGCTCAGTGCTCAATGGCGGTATTTTTTGTTCATTGAACCATTTACAAGATCATAAATTGAGTCTAAAAGTCGTCTTTATATACCCAAGTTTCATTTTCACCAAAGTTTTTTCTTTATTCTGCCTTTCTAAGACCCTCCAAATATTCATATTACAAACCTTTCGTAATAGATTGTAAAAGACATCAATTTTAAATTTCATTAGATATTTAATTCGCATTTTTAAAGAACTTTCTGCATTCTTTTTTTCTTTAATAGTTGATATGTTTAAAACCAAATCCCCATTGATCAATTGAAGAGTAAGATTAATATTAAGCTATGTGGTATTATTTCTTTGCCTGAGATTAAACAGAAGACGACATTCACAAAAAAAACTATTTACCATTTATATTAATGGATATTTCTGGCCTGCTCTCTTGTTCTCCGCCTAAAATCTCACACCATAATAAAAAAAATTCACAATTATTGGCTATTTTGATAAAAAGAGATGCGTATAACTTTATCACAAATTCAGCTCTATTTAAGCAGACGATCATATCCAAAAAATCATTAATTTAAATTTTAGATTACAAATTCACATTATTTATTCTAGTTTACGTTTAGCACAAAACATTGACAATTATGTTAAATATCTAAAGTTTTAATGTTGACTGTTAGACTCTTAAACAATTAAAATAACCAATGACTTCAAACACATGTGTACAGTGCGTAATACAATAGTCAGATAAACATCTTTTTATATCATAGAGCCAGAGCATCTTTGGTTTTTTTCAAAATATCTTTTAAAAATCGAACCAAAACATTACTTCTAATAAGGCAATTTAGAATTAACAGCTTAAATTCTTTGCTCAATGTGACTCCCTCTGGTTAACAATGGTTGTTTTCACTTTTCTTTTTTATATATACTTGTTTTCTTATTTGAGTTTTTTTTCTGGATAAAATAGCTTTGAATTGTTAAAGTTTCTGTACTAAGTTGTTGTTAAGGATTACAACTTGGGACTGGGAATAAATTTGTGGGGGGGGGGGGCAAATATCCTCTCGCCTCCCACCCCTTCGCAGTCCCCAGTTTCTAACTTAGGGGTTAAAAACACAAAACTTCTGAAAAAATGTATAAACTTATTGAATTGGAGTAAAAATATGTTGAATGTCTTGAAATATTTCGAACTTTTATGCACTTTTAAAATGTTCATACAACGACTGCTAAAATGTTAAAATTAGTAAATTTAGTTGGTCAACTTTGTCTTCATTTAAATAATTCTTAAACAAAAAGTTTTAACGAAAATTTAAAATCTTTTAATATCTTTTCAAAAATGTTGGTAAAACAAGGTTATTTTGCGAAAATGGACTGTTGAAAATGTTTGTGAAAAAATACGATTTTAAAAAAAAGGTCAAACATTTTTGCGAATATTTTCTAATCCACAAGTTAGTTGCTTTCAAAAATACCTGAGATATTAAGAAATTGGTTTAAATTTCAATTTATTAAATAAAACAATGACATTATCAAATTCTAAACGAAATCATGTATATCTCCGATAATTATGAAAGAACAAAAATGCAGACCACATTTTGGAAATGGGAGGACTAGGGCTATTAAATGATTATTGTTTAATAAAAATATATTGCTAAAACAGGTTACCTATGTTGAATGCCGCAAACTATTTCTAAGGATCAAAGGCGACTTTTAAGTTTTCAATCTATTCATATTATTCTGGATCACTATATCCTAACATTCAACCCCCCCCCCTCCCCTCGATTTAAACTACTATGGGTTTATATTTTTGTATTTAGTTTTATATAGTTAGTGAGGGCTGATAACCCCCCCCCGATATAAACTACTATGGGTTTATATTTTTGTATTTAGTTTTATATATTTAGTGAGGTCTGATAACCCCCCC